AGCGATCCATCTCACGTGTTGGATTTCAGCACTATCCAGTTGGACAAGGACTTGCCTTATGAGGAGGAGCCGGTAGCTATTCTAGACCGGCAGGTTTGTCAGTTGAGATCCAAGAGTTTCCCTTCTGTTCGTATTCAGTGGAGAGGTCAGCCTCCTAAGGCATCAACCTGGGAGTCCGAGTCCAATATGCGGAGCCGTTATCCTCATTTTTCCCCGACTCAGGTTCTTCCTTCTTCTGTCCGTTCGAGGACGAACGGTTGTTTTAGAGGAGGAGAATGTGACGACCCAAAGGGTCATCACCTATTTTTTTTTTCATTAATTCTGTGCTTCAAAGGCCTTGAAAACCTCATTTAGAGTCGCCTCGATTTGTATGCGCAGTCCGGGCGTGTAGCCGGAAAGCTTAAATGTGAAATTCTGAGAAAAATTCTAAGTTTTGATGTTAAAATGAATAAATTTGACCTTGGTCAACATTTTGGGCAAACGGATCCAGACCCGTGATTCGACAGTCCCGGAGGGTCCGTAGGAAAATATGGGATGTGGGCGTATGCCCGGAATCGAATTCCGAGGTCCCAAACCCGAGAAATGAATTTTTTAGAAAAATTATTTTCTGGAAATGTTTAAGAAAATTGGAAATAAAATCTGTTTACAAAGCGATGGTATTGGGACCGTATTTTGGTTCCGGCGCTCTGTATAGGTCTTATATATGTTTTAAGTCCTTCTTGTAAAATCTAGTTAAAAACGAACGTCGTTTGACGTGATTCGGACTTGAAGTTCTAAATTTGAAACTTGATGAAGTTTGAGGAAAAACTATTGATTTTGAGGTTTGATTCATTGTTTTTGAGGTTATTTAGGCGATTTAATTGCACGGATAAGTTCGTATGATGTTGTTGAGTTAGTACATGTGTTTGATTAGGAACCTCGAGGGCTCGGGAAGTGTTTCAGAGTATTTCGCAATGGTTTTAGACTTATAAAAGTTGTAAGTTTTCCAGTTCTGGTATGTCCTTCTTCGCGTTCGCGGGAGGACCCTCGCGAACACGATGAGTAAAATATTGCTGAAGGAAACTTCGTTCTACGCAAACGCGTAGACCAGGTCGTGAACCGAGGCAACGGGGGGCTATAACTTTGTGAACGCGTTCCTGGCCACGTGAACATGAAGGCCAAGTGGCCTGGGCAGGGGGAAAGGGTAGAAAACCTTACGCGAACGCAACCTTAAGGACGCGAACACGAGGGCTCGAGAAGCTACAGCTTCGCTATCGCGAGCCCCTCAATGCAAACGCGAAGGCCAAAAAGCCTGACCCATCGCGTACGCGAGAGGTTTGACGCGAACGCGTAGCATTAAATCGCCCCGTTACTTTTTAAGTTTCACAAACAGAATGCAAACAGGATTTCTCAAAATTTTACAAAACTTCTTCTTCTCCAAAGCTCCTAGGCGATCCTTGAAGCACTTTTTCACCAAAACTTCTTGGGTAAGTAATCTCCAACTCGTTTTTTTCCATTTTCATCAACATCTAATAAACTTCTAGGCCTAAAACATATGATTAAGGATAGAAAATTAGGGATTTGGGTAAAGTTAGGGCCTTTTGATTTTTCTTGATTTAGACCTCATTTTGGGGTCGAATTTGAAAACAAATTATATATTCGGGCTCGTGGGTGAATGGGTGATTTGATTTTGATCCGAACCTCATGTTTTGACCAAGCGGGCCCGGGGTCAATTTTTGGATTTTTGGGAAGAATTATGGAACATCTATAATTAGGCATTGAGTTCGCATTGTTTAGCATTATTGATGTATTTGAAGTCATTTATGTATAGATACAATCGATTTGGAGCCAAATTCGAGAGGAAAGGCGGTAATTGAGGATTGAATTGGCCGTGGAAGTTTGAGGTAAGTGTTCGGTCTAACCTTAACTTGAGGGATTTAGCTTGAGTCATATTTGATATGTGTTTCTTGTTGAGTACGACGTATAGGCATGGTGATGAGTATCTATACGTTGGTGTCGAGCATGACCGTGAGTATTAAATTGATACTTGTTGAATTCTTGAATAATACTATGGTTGCAATAATGAGTAAATCTGTGGTATTGACAAAGACTTAGTTTGTTTTCTTCGTGGAAGATACTTATGAGTTAGAAATTGTGATAATTGGGATGTTTATGAGTTGAGTTGAGGTTAGTTATAGCTGATTCTCTCTTGCCGGGACGTTTATATTTGTACTGTTGAGTTCCCTTGCTGGGATAGTGTAATTTATGATAAACCCCTTGCCGGGATGGTTGTTATGATTACTGTAAGCTGTATATTTGGAACGGGTTGTGCGCCGCAACATTTTTATTAATGTTATACAAATATGGATCGGGTTGCACGCCGCAACAGATATTATATATATTGGATCGGGTTGCACTCCGCAACAGATATTATATATTGGATCGCGTTGCACGCTGCAACAGGTATTATATATATTGGATCGAGTTGCATGCCACAATAGTTATATATATATATATATATATATNTTGTACTGTTTTTTCGTATTTATTTGGTATTTGCTAAGTTAAATTGTTTCCCCGAAGCATGTATCCCCTCCCTTTTACTACTTATTACCTGTTTACTTTTCTGCCATATATTATATAACTGCACAGGTTTATCTGGAGTTTGGTCCTAGCCTCGTCACTACCTCGCCGGGGTTAGGCCAAACACTTACCAACACATGGGGTCAGTTGTGGATGCTACACTCTGCACTTATGTGCAGATACCAGAGCAGCATACGGTGCGCAGCAGTAGGTCGGGAGCCATCCTTCAGTCCACCGAGGCACCGAGGTAGCCTTGCAGACGTCTGCAGGCCCAGCGTCTCCTCTATCATACATTTCATTCTGTTATCTCATGTATCCGAGACAAACAACTTTATTTTATTTAAACTGATGTATGTAGCATTCGTAGTAGTCCATGAATGTTGTGACACCAGGTTCTGGGTAAAGACGTGTATTGGCTTTTAGACATTTTGGTTTCTTATCTATTCTTGACTTCCGCTAAATTTTATTTTTCCGCTGTCATTTAACTGCTTATTCACTATTAATTTAATTGTTTAACTTGTATAAAATGAAAAGGATAAATGATTTCAAAGGTTTATGGCTTGCCTAGCTTCCATGAGTAGGCATCATCACGACTCCCGAGAGTGAGAATTTCGGGTCGTGACACCCTCCCCCCCAAGTATATAAAGGGGACTTTAAACCTTGTAATGGCAGATCAAGAAGATATACAAAATTACTCTCTCTCTCTACTTTTATAAACTCTGTCCTCTCATCTCTCTATACTTCTGCCATTCCATTGCTATAACAATCCGAAAGTTAATTATCTTCGACTACGATTTACCCCTCTTTATTTTTTGATTGATTTGCTTGAAAAGAGTTAAAAATCTTTTGAGTCAAACAATTTGGCACCGTCTGTGGGGATTTCCATAGTCGAAATCATAGTTCTCATCTAGGATATCAAAAACAACGATCATTGTTCTTCACATCCCATAAGAACTAACAATGGCGGAAAAAGAAGCGAGGTTGAAGATGATAGCAAATGTCTTCAACAACCTCTTAATCCCCCTCAACGAAGCCAGTAAGGAAGACACCGAGAATACAATGCCAAGAGATACACCGGAGGGGGAGATATCACCCTCTCCACACGAGGATCTAACGGTCTTGCGTGAAAAAAGAGCCTCCATGTCCACGACGAGAAAAACACCACCAACGATCAAAAAGCTGCTAGAGGAATGGTTGACGAGTGCCCTAAGCAACATGCTCGAAAAACCCCCTCAAGGAAATGTCGATGACTCACCGACTGCAGAAATCGCAGTTGCCACTAGCGAGCCAAGCACTACCCAAACAGGCAACACCCACACTGCCATCGATGCATGTGACGGTGCACTCACAACCATTCTAAAGAAAATGGAAGAAATGGAGAAAGAAAATGAAAGAGCATCAGGAAAGGGTTGACAAAATACCTGGCGCCCCCAAGCTACTACCGAAACGCGACGTGGGAAGGTTCGTCGAACAGCCATACAGCAAGGGTGCTGCTCCGCACCCCATCCCGAAAACCTTCAAAATGCCACCATACTTGAGAATATACGACGGGACCACAGATTCGAAAGATCATTTAATCCACTACGTCACTGCGGTAAAGAGCAATGACCTGTCAAAGGAGCTAGTGCCATCTGTGTTGCTAAAAAAGTTTGGTGAGACTCTGACAGGAGGAGCATTGACATGGTATTCCCAGCTACTGGCACAATCGATAGCAATATTTGAGGAGATGGCGAACAAATTTTCTACCGCTCATGCAGGAGCTAAGAAGGCCGAAGCTAGGGATAATGACATTTTCACCATCAAGCAAGCAGCAGGCGAGGTACTTCGAGACTTCCTGGCTCGATTCAACAGAGTGAGAATGGGACTGCCAAATGTGTCGGAAGGAATGGTGGTCGCAGCCTTCCAAAATGGGTTAAATAGGAACAGATCAAAAGCAACCAAGAAATTGCTCAACAAACTCATGAAGTATCCTCCACCGCATGGGAAAAGATCCATAACGCCTACTGGACCGAGGTAAAGGCAGACAAAGACGATCTTAATGGTCCAACTCAGCGGCTAACGTCAGTCCAGATCGAGGCAAGAGGGATCGACATAACGACGGAAGGAGAGATCAGCCCTCGTGTTTCAATCGAGAAAGACATCAGCCTTATGTTAGAACATCCAACCCACCCCCTCTAAGACGTGCGGATACCGTGCTACGACACACCGCACCCCTTCGGAACGGAAGAGGTATGCTTCCACTATTATTTGCTCATAACTTTTGTGTTTCCCCTTCAGAGATAGTGTACGCACTAGAGAAGCTGGGCACGAAGGTGTAGTGGCCACCAAAAATGAAATCGAACCCGAGCACAAGAAGGTCAAATGTCCTCTGCGAATTCCATTAGGATAGAGGACACAAAATCGAAGATTGCATAGGCCTGCGACAAGAGGTGGTTAGGATGTTGAACCAGGGGTACCTTAAGGAACTCCTTAGCGATAAAGAAAAGGCCAACTTCTCCAGAGGACGTGACCACTCACAAGGACCTCCGAAACCACCATCGCTGGCACGCACCATACAGATGATTATCGGCAGCGGCGATAAGTCGGTGATCAACAATGTGAAGTTCACCACCACGCATAAACTCAAATGCACGGTCGCTCACGAACGGTATGACGACTTCGAAGACAGTATCATCTTCGAAAAGTTAGATGCCGGCGGTTTGTCTTTCCCTCATTATGATGCTTTAGTTATAACTTTACGCATTGCTGCTACAGATGTAAAAAGAATCATGGTAGACGATGGAAGCGGGGCGTGTATTATCCACCGAGAGTTCTCGTGCAAATGAGGCTCGAGGATATAATAATACCGCATTGCATAACACTAATAGGTTTTAACAATGCAGTAGAGCGGACATCCGTGGAAATAATGTTGCCTGTCTTAGCAGGAAGAGCCACGCTAGAAACCACATTCCATGTCATGAACCAGGAAACAACCTATAATACCATCATAGGACGCCCTTGGATACACGCCATGCAAGTCGTCCCCTCAAGATTTTACCAAGTGATCAAATTTCCCACCCAATAGGGGGTATTCAGTATTCGAGGCGAACTGCGTACTACCCAAGAATGCTACCGGATCACCTAAGATTGCACGTACACCAGACAGTTGAAAGGAGCAGGTATGCAGGCATAGAAATTAGCCATGTCGGGAACTAAACCCGACCCACCAGCAGAGGTCATCAGAGACCCGGATGTCATAAAAGCCTGCAAGGCAACTATAGAAAACCTTGACCCAGTCCAGCTGGACGACGCCAATATCATAAGAAAGGCTTACATCGGACACAACCTCTCAGAACTAGGTAAGTATTGTGAATTTCTGACTAATAACGCCGACTTGTTTGCCTTTTCCCACTCAGATATGCCGGGTATCCCAAGGGACATCGCCACTCATAGGTTGAATGTCGACCCACTCTATCCACTAGTATGGCAATCAAGGAGAAAATTCAATGCTGCAATCAACGAAGTAGTCAGCAAAGAAGTGGACAAATTGCTCACTAATGGTTCCATCAGAGAATCGAAGTATCCCCAGTGGTTTGCCAATGTGGTCATGGTCAAAAAGAAGAACGGGAAGTGGCGAATGTGCGTGGACTTCACCGATCTGAAAAAAGAATGCCCAAAAGACTCCTTCCCATTACCTCATATCGACCAACTGATCAATGCAGCAGCGGGGCACGAACTGCTGAGTTTTTTAGATGCTTATTCCGGTTACAACCAAATCCTGATGGCCGAAGAGGATCAAGAAAAGACAACCTTCATCACTCACCAAGGGACTTACTGCTACAAAGTGATGCCATTCGAGCTCAAGAACGCTGGGGCCACTTATCAAAGGTTAGTCACCAAGATGTTCAAAGAACAGCTCGGCAAAACAATGGAGGTTTATATCGATGATGTGCTGGTAAAATCGGCAAAGAAGGAGGATCACATTAATTATTTGAAAGAAGCTTTCGAGATTTTGAGACGGTACGGGATGAAGTTGAATCCGGAAAAGTGCGCCTTCGGCATAGCATTGGGGAAATTCCTAGGTTTCCTCTTGTCACAACGAGGGATCGAAGTCAACCCTGATCAAATCAAGGCCATCGACATCATACCTGAGGTACTGACCAACAAGAAACATGTACAGAAGCTAACATGGCGAATAGCCGCCTTGTCAAGATTCATTTCACGGTCCTCAGACAGATGTCACCAATTCTTCAACGTACTAAGAAAGGATCACGGGCTACAATGGAACGAGGAGTGCATTGACGCCCTAAGAAAACTAAATTCATATCTATCTTCACCACCACTACTCGTCAAAGCAAACCCAGGCAAAATGTTTACTCGTATATTTGGCAGTATCTGAAGTCGTTGTCAGTGTGGTCCTGGTTCGCGGAAACGAAGGTACGCAATCTCCTATTTACTATATCAGCAAAACCTTAATAGATGCCGAGACAAGGTACCCTCACCTTGAAAAACTAGCTCTGGCACTGGTCGTAGCTTCATGCAAGCTTAGACCCTATTTCCAATGCCACCCCATAAAAGTAATAACTATTTTTCCCCTAAGAGGTGTCCTGCATAAGCCCGAGCTCTCAGCCAGACTCGCCAAATGGGCAATAGAGCTCAGTGAGCATGACATAACCTACCAACCACGAACTTCCATCAAGTCGCAGGTGCTCGCTGATTTCGTTGCCGACTTCAGTGCAAATATATTACCGGAGGCGGAACAAGAAGCGTTTCGTGCTTCCGCACGTATCGACCTCTGCACCCTCTACACTGATGGCACTTCGAACGCCCCGGGATCGGGACTGGGACTCATCCTCGAAGTCCCTACGGGAGAAGTAATTCGCCAGTCCATATGATGCCCTAAGATGAATAACAACGAGGCCGAGTATGAGGCTGTGATTGCAGGTCTGAAGTTAGCTCTCAAGTACGGCGCCCGACGGCTCATCCTCCATTGCGACTCTCAACTTGTTGTGAATCAAGTCACTGGGACTTTCCAAATCAAAGAGCAAAGACTGCAGAAATATCAGTCAGAAATCCATAAGCTGCTGTCGGAGTTCGATGAATGCTGCTTCGATCAAATCCCTAGTTTAGCCACCAAATTAGTTGCGGCCACCAAGAATATTAACAAGTAAAATGTGGTCACCCTCCCTCATTCAGCCATAGACCACGTCGAGGTACTCTCCATGAACCTAACTTGGGATTGGCGTAATCGCCTTGTGTCCTACTTACAGGACGGAACACTCCCGCAAGACAAAAAGGAATCTAAGAAACTCCGGACACAAGCGGCTCGATACAGCCTAATAAATTACTACCTCTACAAGAGAACGTTCGGCGGCCCCCTAGCTAAATGTCTCGGACCGCATCAAACAAGGCAAGTCCTAAAAGAAGTACACGAGGGTCATTGCGGTGCCCATACAAGGAATCACGCCCTAGTTCGATGTCTCATTCGCGTCGGCTACTACTGGCCTACTATGAAAAAAGAAGCAGCAGACTATGTCTGGAGATGCGAACAGTGCCAAAAGTATGCCCCTATGATACATCAAGCAGGAGAATTGCTCCATTCGGTCACCTCGCCATGCCCTTTTATAAGATGGGGGATGGGCGTAGTTGGTCTTCTGCCAGCGGGACAAGGAAAGGTACGTTTTCTTTTAGTTTTAACTGATTATTTCTCTAAATGGGTGGAAGCAGGTGCGTACGCTCAAATACGCGAATAGGAGGTCATCGCCTTTATATGGAAAAATATCATATGTCGCTTCGGTATCCCCAAAGAAATCAGCTGCGATAATGGACCCCAGTTCGTCGGAAAGAGAACGACTGAGTTCTTCGAAAAATGGCACATCAAGCGAATACTCTCCACGCTGTATCATCCCGCTACCAACGGCCAAGCCGAGTCCTCCAACAAAGTGATATTAAACATATTGAAAAAGAAGCTCGAAGAAGCTAAAGGGCTATGGCCCGAACTATTACCTAAAGTATTGTAGGCCTACCGAACTACGCCAAAGTCCAGCATAGGAGAAACGCCATACTCATTGGTCTACGGGACCGATGCAGTCATATCCGTCGAAGTCGGGGAACCCAGTCTGAGATACTCCCGTATGAGCGGAGCAGACAACGACGAAAGTAGATTACAAGACCTAGATGAAGCTGAAGAATGGAGAGACATGGCCCACATAAGAATGATAGCTCAGAAGCAGCAAGTAGAGAGATACTACAACAAAAAAGCCAAGGTAAGACCACTCAAAGTTGGCGACTACGTCCTCAAGGCCAAAACATTGGCATCAAAGAACCCGAATGAGGGAAAATTAGGAACCAACAGGGACGGACCGTATAAAATCATCGCAGCAGCAAACAAAGGAGCATTCCAACTGGAAACAATGGAGGGAAAACTACTCCAGAACAACTGGAACGTCAACATCTCAAGTACTTCCACTTCTGAAAGACGTCACCTAAGTCGTACTATTTTTCCCTCACCCAAGTTTTATCCCAATTAGGTTTTCTCGGGGAGGTTTTTAATGAGGCGGCAAAGGGGATACCCTGTGGATCGGCGTACTGTTCATCACTGCGACCCATCGTCACGGTCACCAGGCCGAAGTAATGAAGGGACTGCACAACTCAATCTTCACTGTACAAACAGAATTCTCTATTGTATAAACAGAATTCTCCATTGTATGAACAAAATTCTCCATTATATGAACAGAAACCTCAATTATATGAAACGCCAACATCCCAGTGGCCATGGCCAAGGCCATCGACATTAGTTCGACCTCGCTCGAAGCACGATGAATACAACTTCGACCACGGTCGAAGCAACATCCTAATGGCCAAGGCCATCATCAATTCGACCTCGCTCGAACCACGGCGGATACCACTTTGACCACGGTCGAAGAAATATCCTAATGGCCAAGGCCATCATCAGTTCGACCTCGCTCGAACCATGCCGGATACTACTTCGACCACGGTCGAAGCAATATCCTAATGGCCAAGGCCATCATCAGTTCGACCTCGCTCGAACCACGACGGATACCACTTCGACCACGGTCTAAGAAACATCCTAATGGCCAAGGCCATCATCAGTTCGACCTCGCTCGAACCACAACAATACCACTTCGACCACGGTCGAAGCAACATCCTAATGGCCAAGGCCATCATAAGTTCGACCTCGCTCGAACCACGGTGGATACCACTTCGACCACGGTCGAAGAAGCATCCTAATGGACAAGTCCATCATCAGTTCGACCTCGCTCGAACCACGACGGATACCACTTCGACCACGGTCGAAGCAAAATTCTAATGGCCAAGGCCATCATCAGTTCGACCTCGCTTGAACCACGACGGATACCACTTCGACCACGGTCGAAGTAATATCCTAATGGCCAAGGCCATCATCAGTTCGACCTCGCTCGAACCACGGCGGATACCACTTCGACCACGGTCGAAGCAACATCCTAATGGCCAAGGCCATCATCAGTTCGACCTCGCTCGAACCACGATGGATACCACTTCGACCACGGTCGAAGCAACATCCTAATGGCCACGACCATTATTAGTTTGACCTCGCTCGAACCACGATGGATACCTCTTCGACCACGGTCGAAGCAACATCCTAATGGCCAAGGCTATTATTAGTTCGACCTTGCTCAAACCACGACGGATACCACTTCGACGGCGGTCAAAGCAATATCCTAATGGACAAGGCCATCATTAGTTCGACCTCACTCTAACCACGACGGATACCACTTCGACCACAGTCGAAGCAACATCCTAATGGCCAAGTCCATCATTAATTTGACCTCGCTCGAACCACGAC